AGGAATCGCAGTGGGGAAAGGCGGGGAAAACGGGGATTTGTCCCACGTGGCTCCTGCGTTTGCTGTTCTCATCCCGCCCATGGGCTCGTGTGGTTTGGGGCGCCCGTTTTGGGGGCAGGGAGGGGGGTCTGACCCCACGACCACACTGAGCGTAAGGTCTTTGTGCCTTGCCACGTGTGAATTTTGGCTGTTAAAAAATCCCCTTAATTTGCGGCTTTTGGGTCCCGCTTTTGCGTACACCGAGTAGGACAGGGAGCGCCTGGAGGGACCAGGGCTTGGGTTGGTTTTTCCCGGGACACGATTCCTTACTGTAACGCTCTGGCTTGTAGCTCAGCCAACAAGTGTCTGCTGAAGGTGGCCGCCTATGCCGCGCAGCTGGAGCAGTACCAGAAGGCCATAGAAATCTACGAGCAGGTGAGGATGCAGGCTTCGTCCAGCAGGAAGAGGCTTCCCGGAAAGGAAAAGCCGGGCAAGCGTGTCAGTCTGGTGAAACCGTGGCCGAGAAACTCCTTACTGTGATTCCGTCGGGGCTGATGATGCCGCCCTGAGGCACGGTTGGCTCTGTGGCTTTTAAGAGCGGCTTTGATGTACCACAGGCAATTTTTCCTTGAATTCCGTTGTTTCTAGGGAAAGGTTGGGGAATGGAAATCTGTAGTTACCCTTCGGATTGTATTTACGGATACGGTGGGCCGAAACTTTCCCCCAGGTTTGTCAACTCTGTGACGTCACTTGGGCTCAGTTAAAAATCTCTGGCTTCCCCAAGAGCTTTTTGTACAGAGGCTGGAAGTGTTTTCCCGCACTCCTCATTCACGTGCTGCGAGGAACTCCCATTGGGTGTCCTGCTTTTAATTCCCTTCTTACTGCCGCGTTTCTTCCCTCCCAACTCTCCCGCGCATCTTCCTGCGCCCAGGTGGGAACAAACACGATGGACAACCCTTTGCTCAAGTACAGCGCGAAGGAGTATTTCTTCAAAGCCGCCCTCTGCCACTTCATCGTGGATGAGCTCAACGCCAAGGTCAGTCATCCCCAAGCTTCCCCATCCCTCTTACTCCCTTTTCCCTGACGCACGGGGATTTGTGGCCGTGGGGAGTGAAGCCCGAAGCCTATTGGCCGCGAGTTACCGGCCCAAGCTCTCGGCACGGTTCGGGACCGGAAGGCAAAGGCAGAGAGGGAAGAGCGAGCGGATGCGTGCGCAAAGGGCGTCAGGGTCGTCTTCTCTCTTTCAGCTTGCGCTGGAGAAGTACGAAGAGATGTTCCCAGCCTTCACAGATTCCCGGGAATGCAAGCTATTGAAAGTGAGTCCATGAGAGTCGGACGGGAGAGCACGTGCGGCCCTTTGCCCGCTGCCTTTCCACCGGGCTGGGCTCAGGTGTCGGAGCGGTGTGGAGGCCGTTGGCGTTGCGGTGCGGTGGGTCTGTACGGGATGTGGGGAAGGAGCTGGAGCAGGAAGGTGAGCAGTGAACTGAAAACCGGGAGGGAACGTGCAGTGACGGGGAATGTTCAAATGTCTTCTCCTAGAAACTGCTGGAAGCGCACGAGGAGCAGAACTCGGAGGCGTACACGGAGGCAGTAAGTGGGGAGAGGGCTGTTCCCTGAGGGCGGGGAGACAGGGGGTCAGTGGTTGGGTCAGGGCCGAGTGCAGCTGAACGGGATGCGCAGCCCTGGGCTCTGTAGGTGCCACCGGAACCCCCGGAGATGTCACCAAAAGGAAACACAGCACCCTGCACTCCTTCCCTGTTTCATTCCTGCCCTCGTTCCCCTCCCATCCCACCCTATCCTGTTTCCCTCCTCTCCCCTCCCCTTCCCTTCCCCCTATTCCATGCCATTCCCATGCTCCATTCCATGTAGCTGACACCAGTTTTACTGGAGTTCCCTATTGCCGCAGGTGAAGGAGTTTGACTCCATCTCCCGCCTGGATCAGTGGCTGACCACCATGCTGCTCCGCATCAAGAAGTCCATCCAGGGGGAAGGCGATGGAGACCTCAAGTGACGTCTCCGCAGTGTCTGCGCCACGTACCTCTGGCTCCTGCATTACTGGGACCCCCGGGACAGGCCATCCCAGATCCCGCTGTACTTTGTTGCTTCCGACCCCGACGATCCGTGTGTTTTGTGTCCCGCTCCGTGTGGTGCCCGCATGGGGAGCGCGGCAGCAGCGCCTGCGTGGCGTGGCCGGGCTTCGCAGTGACGGCAGTAATTCCGGCTGGAATCCTTGGTTTGCTTCCCGACCTGCCCTCCCAGCTTCTCCTTTTCCTGCAGTTGTGTCTTCTCCCTGCAGTTCTCACAGCTCAGTTCCATTGCTTCCGGCATGGAAACGTTTTGCCCATGTCATTCCGGTACGCGGAAGCGCTTCTGGTCTGTTGGTGTTACCCTTCTGTTCCTAAATATTCTCGTCACACACGCTCCGACCCTGGGCTCGTTTATCCGGTTAAGCTTTCTGAACGGCACTGGAAGAGGCTCTGCGCCACGCGCACATTCCCTACGGAGACACAGATGTCTCCCAAAGCGGTCCTTGATCTCTCCCAAGTCACTCCTGGTCCATTCCAGGTTGTATTTTCCCTCCACTCTAAGCGGTGGTTTGTTTCCCAGATGAGCCTGCGCCTGGCAACCCGCAGGAAGAGCCATGCGTAACAGGCCAGGCAGGGGCATTCCGAAAGCCAGGCTGGCTGATGCTCCTTCCAAGCGCCTCCTGTTTCATCCCTTCGCCTTCCTCCAAAAAAAACCTTCGCCTTCCCCCCCCGCGCGTCGTGTCTGTCCTGCCACGAGCCTAGCCTGGCAATCCTTTAAATCCCGTGGAGCGGGTGGTGCTGGGCCGTGCCGCTGCTTCCCGTGGGAGTCCTTTGCGTGCTCGTGCCCCCTCCCGCAGGCGACACGTGCGGAGGAGCTGGACAAGCTGCCGTTCCATCCGAAGGAACCGCTGCCCAACTTCCCTGGGATAAACGGGTGGGATTGAGGCATTACCGTCTGCCTTCCCTGTCGCTGGCTCCGCGGCAGCTTGTCTCCGCCACCTCTGGAGCGGGGAAGCACGGATCTACTCTTCCCAGTGCCCTGCTCCGCAGCCCTCTGTCGTTCCCTTTTCCAGTGGTCAGTGTCGCGTGCCGCCGGAGCGCCAGACCGTCGCCCGCGGGGTCTGTTTCCGCGCTCTGGAACGGCGTCGCCCGCTGCCCAGGCTGCAGCACGTCTTGGTGTGCCAGTGGTGCAGGTGTGACCGTGACCGTCTGCCACTCCGCTGCCTCCCCTCCCCGCTACGGCCCCCGGCCTCGGCGCGGAGCTCGCGTTGCCTGCCCGTCTCTCCCCTAATAAAGCGAAAACGATGAGCGTTGGAGGCGATGGAAGTGTTCTTTTCCCGGGAAACGCGCGAGGCCGTGGCGAGGGCCGGGTTGGGACTTGCCCCCCTCACAGGGTGTGGAAGCATCCGATGAGGTTAAGATTTTAGTCCTTGAATAGGAACAGTCCCTAGGAATAACTCGCTTCCGAACCAGCTCCGTGCCCCAGGATGGAGCGCTGTGTCGCTTTGACAAGCCCGGCCAGGTGGGATCGTGCTGCTCTGGACGCTAAGGCCATCCTGCAGGGAGCTCCTCCCCCAGCTTCAGCTAGGAAAGGCTCTAGGGAAACAGGCAAAAACTAAGGAGAAAAGCAAACCAAGGAAACGACTCGGAACAGCTCCGGGATTTTACATGGCAGCACTGGGAATCAGTATCCCAAGGTTGGAGGCGTTAACCCTACCAGCACATCACTCCCAAAACCAAGCAGGTTCCCAGTCAGGTCTTTGTTAGTGCCAACACTCAAAGGATGCCTTCCCTGTGCCGGGAAAACACCGGAAACCCTCCCAGGTATCCCAGGGAGGCTAAGCTGAAGGGCAGCCAAGGAAACCCGTCTCCTTCCAGCCCAGCTTTGGTGTTAGGCAAGGAAGCGCAGGGAATGCTTTCCTGGGATCGAAACTCTCGGGTTTCCCTGCGCAACAGCTTCCCAGCTGTGACTGAGAAGGAGCGGGGGAGATTTTTAAGGAAAGATCTAGAAGGAGCGGGGGAGAGTTATAAGGAAATGTCAGTTTTGGTTAGAAACACCCTGCTACTGGCGCGGGGCGGGGCCTCAGCAGGTGTCAGAGCTGGCCGTGGGACGCTGTGGCTTGGGACAGTCGGTCACCAGCCTCAAACCACCCCTCTGCTTCCAACAATCCTACAGCGTACCCACAGTCCGGGAATTCACAACCTAAATCCCTCACCTTTTGACACCGTTGGTCACGAGAGCCCTGACTGCCCCGAATCCACGTTCCCAAGGAGTGACCCGGTGTGCTGCTGGGATCTTTGGCAAAAGCAGAGATTGAACTAGTATTTCCTGAAAAGCAGTTTTAGCAAAACCGATTTTAGGCATGAATTTCCTCGAGGGAACAGGCAATTTAATTCCGCAACGCTACAAGGCTGAGAAACACGATGTTTCTCCCGACTGATTGTCCGTGTGCCAGCGAATCGACAGGAAATCACGCTCACCCCTTCCTCACCACCCACGGGACACAGGTACTGGCCAGCCAGAGCAAACGAGCTGAGCTTACACCCCTTTTATTCCTAGGGAATACACTTCCCGGGAGTCCTGAACCCTAAACCTGTCGCAGGGTGACCCTTCAGGAGAGGGAGCTGTCTGGGAGGTGGTAGGGAATTCTGGAAATCCAGGGCATGTCTTTCCCTGCCTAGCCCTGCTTCCTCCTCCCCTGCTTCTCCTGGTTCCCTCAGCAGATCGGCGCAGCGTCGGGGACTACGCCAAGGTTTGGTTGGCTGTAAACAACCGGATTATTCCATGTTCACCAGAGCGTGGAGCTGCGGCTGAACAGGCTCCGCCTGCGGATGCAGCACCGTCAGCTCGCTCAGAGCGGTGGCTATCAGCGCTTCCTGGGGCCCCGGCGTCCCATCGGACTTACAGCCCGCGCCCGCGGCAGCTCCGCTGTCGGGCAAAAAAACGTGCTCGCCCCCGCCCCCTGCCACGGCAGCCAAGTTTTGGTAATGGCCGTTTCCCGGGAAAGACAGCAGCTTCTCCGGGATTTTAGGCGATGCGTCGTACTCTTCATCGGGAAGCTCCGTTTTGTGCCCGTCGTCGTTCTTGGATGCTCCTTCGACGATGACGAGGAAGGACTTCCAGGGCGTGTTTTTATCGTGTATCTACAAAGGAAAAGCAGGAGGGTGAACACAGGACGGCCGACCGCGAGGGAAAACGCCCATAGGAAGGTCTCCGCGTCCCAAACCGGGTTGAGGCGCTAAATCCGCGTCTCTCCTGAGCCTCCTGCTCCGGCCCAGACCCAACGCAAACGGTCTGAGCGGTGTAACGTCGCGGGGCAGGGGCGTGGCCACGGAAGAAGGCCGGGCTGCCGGGCTCTTACCGAAGTGTGCCGTCGGAGCGTGGACTTGTCCGTGAAGGTTCTCCCGCAGGCGTTGCACATGAAGGGCTTCTCCCCAGTGTGTATGCGGTGGTGCCGCTGCAGCGCATTGAGCTGCGTGAACTGCTTCCCGCACTGGTCGCAGCAGTAGGGCCGTTCACCTGGAAGCAGAGGACGGGGAGGGGGGGACTGCGGGCGCCGCGCCCCCGGGAAACCCGGCACGGTACGGAACGGCACGGCACACGCAAGAATCCTGGGAGGAAGAAACACCCAGAGGTTTTCAGAACTGGCGCAGTTGGGTAAATTCTGAGACATCGGAAGCAAGGGGTGCTCGCCCACGACCTGTCTAAATTTCCAGAGTTTTCCAGGGACTTCCCATTAGCAACTAAAAGCCTGTCCCAGAATCCAGGTTTTCCCGTCTACAAGGTACGTTCTGACAGCGTGAACGTGAGAGCTGCTCACACCCACTGTTACCTCCCAATCCATCGTGAACTGCCCCACTACGGTCAGGGTATTGAGCACTTCTGGAAACGACTGGAGCGTCAGACTCCCGCTTCCTCCTTCCCTGGCCGAGGTAGGGAGCCTTCCTAATGGACACGAGAGATGACACCCCAGAACAGGAACGTCCCTGCTCGCCCTGCGTAACGCCATACTAGAGGCAGAGATGTAGGAATAAAGATAGAGCAAGGCCCAGCAGCCACATGTGGATTCCGGTAACGGAGAACGCTGGCGAGAATGCTTCCAGCAACGGGGAAGGGAGCGTGGTAGCGGGAGGGGATGGCTGAAGGGAAAAATCCAAGCGGGAGAGAGCGCGAACACAAAAGGGGGGCAGAACCAGACCAGCGCTCCGCAGCGCTTCGCTCGGAGGTGGAACAGACAGAGCTTTTCGGTCACTAGTAAGCGGGATTTGGTCACGGATGCCGGTATCTGCACAGCTCCTGGAAGTACTTCAGGGAATTGCTGTCACTGGGTAGGCAGCACAGTACTCAAAGGGAAGTGGGTGAAGGAACAGTGCGTCACGCGCACGCAGGGCAGGAAATCTAAGCAGGGAGGACATCCTAGAAACTCCCCGTCCGAACGACGGAACCGCCGTGTGTCTATGCCTTTAAAGCGGTGGCGGTGCCCCTCAGACCGAAAGAGCAGCTCCTACCCGTGTGAACCTTGATGTGCTGGTAAAGCGAGTTCCTCTGCGCAAAGGTGCGGAAGCAGACCTCGCATTTGAAGGGTTTGGATCCCGTGTGGATTCGGTTGTGGTGTTTCAGGTACTCCTTAGAGGCAAAGCTCTTCCCGCACGTTTCGCACATGAAGGGTCTTTCCCCTGCAGCAAGGGAGAAAAGCAGAATCCAGGCAATGGAGAAGGGGGTTACGCCACGCCCTGAACACTCAGATACAGTTTATTAGACGATCTCTGCGTGTGGCACGGGGTTTTCCTGCAGGAACTCTGCCCGAGACCCTCCAGGACAACCACACCTATCCAGCAGCAGGCGGATAGCTCGCCCTATACACGGAAAGCCAGGGGAGATCTGCGGCCTTCTCGCCATCTCGGGAGCGTTCCGGCTTACTCTCTTCGCGCTGTGTGCCTCCGGTGGAAGGCCTCCGCCTGTAAGCAGCCCGTTTTAGATACAGGCGTCTCGGAAAGCACTCTTGGAATTCTATTTCGTTGCGATTGCGTGTTTCCTGCCACCCACGCTGAGTTACAAGGGACGGGCAGATGGTTTGAAGAGATGCAAAAGCACCACAGGGTAGGAAGGGGCAGTCTGAAACTCCTAAAATGACGCCTAGGGATGAGAATATCTGATTTTATGTAAACCCCAACAAAACAAAGCCTGCTCTGAACGACCGTAGGGGCTCCCGGCTTCTCAGCTGACCCCTCCCACACGCAGCACGTCGCGCAGGCGCCTTACCTGTGTGACAGCGTTTGTGGTAGATCAGCATGTGGTTCTGCGTGAACCGGGCGCCGCACTCGTCGCAGACGAAAGGTTTTTCCCCGGTATGGATCCTGAAACGAGAGCAGCGTGAAAGCACCGCGCCGTGTCGCTTTCCGTCGCGGTGAGACGCGAGTTCTCTTCGCTTGGCGGCTGTGACCGCAGGCCCGCGTAAGATCCCGGGGGCCAAATTCCGCACGGTGGCGCCTGCAGCACGGCTGCTGTTGCAACATGCTGCAGGATGGAGGCCCGGATCCAGAAATGAGGGTCAAAACAGATTTTGAAAGGTAAAAATGGAGTAAAGTTTAGAAAACTTGTACCCACAGCAAACCGTCACCCTCTTTTGGGACCCCAAGTACAGCGGGCATACGCTGCCAACGCTGTTAATAAAATACTCTGCGCGCAACGCCAGCGACGCGTTCCCTGCGCCAAGCGGAGTCCGCTGGCTGGCCTGGAAGGAGCGGCAACCAGGGAGCGGAATAAAAAGATGCCGCTTTTATCCAGTCAACTCTTAGCTTAAATTTGTGAGCCCGTGCACGCTTCAGGACTCTCCTGAAGGAACGCAGCCAACAGAGCCCGTTTTCACAGTCGTACGCGCCTACAGGAAGAGCACGCGTGTAAAAGTACACGAGAAATTCTCGGCACGGCCTGTCAGGACACGCAAGCTGGGACAGGATTGAGTTTCCAGCGTTCAAGGAGCTTATTGAATAGTCCTAGTGGGACCCAAAGGAGAAGAAAACCCCGCTAATGCCCAACCCCGATTTTCTGTAGGCAGCACACAGCAGTTACAGGCGGTTGGGAAAGGACACGTGATGACGGAGCAGCAACAATGTCACGGGAGCGCTCTAGCAGAGGTTATTCTTCTGGACGCGTTTGCTACTACTGGGAGTAAACCCACCGGCTTTGAAAGGGGATGTGAAACAAAGCAGCGGTTAAGGACCCTTCAACCTCACAGGAAACGCCTCCTAGGAACACACTGACGCTCCCGCAGTCTCTTTTTGGACCCAAGCAGCAGCACTTCAAGGTATTTCTTCTGTACCTCCCTCCCTGCACTTACTCCCTGGCTACAATCGGAGCTTTGACGGCTGATGCCTCCTTTGGGAGGCTGCTAAAAGCTCCCTTAGGAGCTGGAATTTTCCCCTTGACAACATCTCTCCCATGAACTCCCAAGACCACGCGTTTGCGCCTCCACCCTTGAGGCTCGCCGCAACGTACGCGCTGCAACTGACGGCACGCGGGTGCCTTCGGTGGTCACCCACCTCCCGACGGCGACGTGTCGGCCCGTTTCTAGTCCCATCTCGGCCGTCTGCTACGCTTACCGCCCAAATCTGGTGTTCTTCAATTTAACACCCCCAAATCTGGTTAAAATACTCCCCTCCTTATCGCATGATGTTTTTCTATCGAGTATTAAGAGGCAGCGAATTCGCTGACAGAATTACGGCCCTAATCCTACGCATATTTTGGGATGGGGGTTGCTTTGCTCACGCGAAACATCCCACTGACTCTTAACGGGTTTATTCCCAGGAGAGAAGCTAACTGCGCGCTCCAGCGGCGGCATGTCTCGGCCCACGCGCCTCTGCTTTGGCTTAAAGAAAACGACAGCAGCTCCCTGAACCCGAAAAGCAGATTAAAGCCCAAAAAAGCCACGAAGAAAAGGCGACAGGGCAACTTTCCAGTCAGTCACGTTTTACACCCCCACTTCACTCGAAGGCTCAAGGTGCGTTCCAGGGGATTCTGCGTCTCCCCCCAGAATCTAACAAGGCCAGTTAAGTCTGTTCATACCTCATGTGTGTTTTAAGTGCAGAAGGCTGAGAAAATTTAGCCTCACACTCTGTGCACCCATAAGGCTTGTCGCCTGTATGCGTCCTTTCATGGAGCCTCAAGGCAGTTTTGGAGCTCAACCCCTTTCCACACTGTTGGCACTGATGACGCTCCCCACCACCCTCATGAACCTGGAGAATGTGCCTCTTGACGTCCTTCTTCCTCTTGAACTTCTTACCGCAGAGCTCACAAGGGAAGTGGCGCTCGCTGCTGTGCACGTGGCGCTGATGGCTTTTGAGGTTGCACCGGTTGGCAAAGGTCTGGCTGCAGGTTTCGCACCGATAAACGATTTCGGCTGCAATGCCGTGGCTGTGCTTTATGTGCTTGAGGAAACTCTTCTCGTAGAGGAATTCCTTCTCGCACGTGCTGCACTTGAAGTTACTGCCTCGTTTCTTTTTATCCTCTTCGGATTTTTTCAGGTTTTCTTCGGGTTCCAAGTTGCCGGTGCGGTCTTCACTTTCGGATTTGATGTCGCTCTCTGCTTGCTCCTCCTCCCGCTCCATATCACACATATCCTGGTCTTGAGGATACCTGTTCCCTGCAACAGCAACCTCTGCGTTCTTCTGCTGCTCTCTCAGCCGCCTCGTGTATTTCTTCTTCGGGATTTCCACAAATACTTTCCTCCCGGCCAGCCTCCCGCTCGCCCGTCTGATTTTGGTGTAAGGAGGCTTCATCACCTCCTTCTTTTTGTCTGTTTTCTCTTTCGATTTGGTAGCCGGCATCTCAGGAGACGCTCCGTTGCTGGGCCTGTCTCCTGGGGAATCCGGAGGATCCAGAGGACAGTCAGCCTGCTCCACTTCCGCCACAGCAGCTGCTTTGGACTCAAGCAAAATGCCTGGCTGGGTTGCGTTCTCCTCCTCAGAGTTCTGTGATTCGGAGAAGTTCTGCAGCTCCAACAGCACCGATTCGAGCATCTGCTTCTTTAACTGAAAGCAGGTTTCCGAGAGGTCCAAGCACTTCAGCTTTTCGGCGATTTCTAGCATGCGCTGCACTCTGTCTTCTTCTACTTCTACCTTAGCGGTGTAGACAAACTCCAGAAATGAAGCAAAATCGGCAACTTGGACCTCGTTCAAGAACACGTTGGTCCGGGGGCCGTCCACGCCCTTCTCGTTAAGGAACACCTCCTTGAAAAATTTGCTTGTTGCTGCCAACACGGCCTTGTGAGCAACAAACTCTGCCCTGACGCCTTGGTACTCCACGCTGACAGTCACGTCACAGAGGTGGCCCAGGAGACGCAGCTGATGCATTTC